GGGTAAGCTATGGGTTGGTTCCTACTCCATGGTACACAACAACAATAATGAATGATAGCAGTATTAAGAAAAAGGCTAATGAGGCATCATAAATGCATAAAGTAGGCTTACAATAACTGAAGCCACTTACTGATCTTATATCCTAAGTGTGAGACAACTAATCATTTTGTGTCTCTTGCTGTGATGCAACAGGGGTACATAACACTCTGAAGTATTTTCCGGCAAAAGAACAAAAAGAACAACTTAAATCTAGTCAAGTTTCCTAATATCTTAGTTTACAGGAAATATCTGAGATAAGCCAGACATTGAACTGACTGCCAAGATATTAACTCCAACTCATAACAACCTGTCTGGCAGCACAGAACACCCTCCTGTAATTTGCAAGGCTGCAAATCTTCACCGGAGACTGCCACGTCTTTCTCTTACAGAGCAGGTTTGCTCAGCTGGCTTCAGTTAGCAGCCCACTGATATTGCTTTATTTGTTGTTATTTCATCTTGAGCGGAATATGATTTATAGGAACCATGACAACAAAGGATCTGAAACCACTTGAGTCACTGCTGCTGTCACTATGTAAATCCATCTTGTTAAGGATCTTCCTCTCTTATGCTGACCTTCCACCTTTCCAAGCATTATGTCTTTCTCCAAGGACTGGCTGTTATTTAGAACAGTTGTTATATACTGTCAAGTCAGAACTGATTCATAGCTGACCCTCTAGCAGGTTTTCAGTAGCAGAGAGTCATACAGGAGGAGACTGCCCATATATCTCCCTTGGAGTAGCTGGTGGATCTGAACTGCTTACCTTTGGCTTGGTAGTGTAATTCCTTACCACTAAACCACTGGAGCTCTATTTGTTGTTAGATGCCATAAAGTTAAGTACGAATCATAATGACCCTTTGAACAACAGATCTGTGCCACACTCCTATTTTCTGACATACTTGAGCACATTTCTACAGTTACTATGCCAATCCATCTCGTTGATGGTTTATCTCTCTTTATCAGACACCGCTTTTCCCAGCATGATGTCCCTTTCCACAGAACAGCCTCTTCTAACAACACATACAAAGTATGGGAGATGAAGCTTTGTCATCTTTGCCTCAAAGGAGCACTCTTTCTGCACTTTCCCCAAGACATATCTGTTTATTCTTTTGGCATTTCATGGGATGTTCAGTACTCTTCTCTGACACCACAGCTGAAAAGCAGACATTCTCCTGTCATTCTTATTCACTGTCAAGCTCTCAAATGCGTAGCAAATGATTGAAAAGACCATGGCCTTTAATGCACTTTAATCTTCAAACTAATGTCATTGCTTCTCAGTAACTTGGAGATCCTTGACTGCAGAGTTTCCCAATGCAATTATGTCTCCTGATCTCCTGTTTGCTAGTACTAAGGATGTTGACAGTGGATCCAAGTAAGATGAAATAATCAATGATTTGAATCTTAATCTATCACAATGTTGCCTATTGTTGGAATGGTGAGAATTTTTGTTTTCTTGATGTTGAGACCTTATCCGTATAGAAAGCTATAGGCTTTGATCTTCCATAGGAAGTACTTCAAGTCCTCAATTTCAGATGGTAAGGTTGCATCATCTTCATAACAGATTCGTTGCTGATGCATCTTCCTCCAGTCCTGATGCTACTTTCTTCTTCATAGAGTCCAGCTTCTCAAATGGTTTTCACAGGAATGCTCTTTTTAGGGTAAACCAAATCAAATCAACCAACTCTATGAACAAAGTAAAACTGTCCAACTGGCTATAAATCTTTACAGGTGGAAACAGCCTCATATATCTCCCATTGAACAGCTGGTGGCTGTGAGCTATTAACCGATCTGTTAGCAGCCCAGTGCTCACCCCACAGAGCCAGATTCATGGTGATGTGATGGAATATCAACTCCTGAACACCACTCATGTGCCAGTTTGTAGTACTGTGGAGTCTAGTATGCTGTTCTGGTGTTGGAAGGGATGCCACAGGTATTTCAAATGCCGAAAGTTAGTTATAATGTACAGGTTAATTAGGGAAGCATCTAGACTAAGTGTAAGATTGACATCCATTTCTCACGTAGTGAAATAATCATGTACAGCAGCAGAATATCGTCTGATACAGTGCCAGCGTGAGGGCATTAGGCTAGAAGACACTCAAAATACAACCGAGGAAGAGCTGTTTCCATAATGTCTACTGTAATGTCATAGATAAAGTAAAGCTTTTAGCTAATGAAAGACTTTTATTTAGTAATGTGGCATGATTTAAAATGTGGAGAAATAGCTGTAACTATCAGTAGTAACTGGAATGTAGAATAAGTATGATTCTAGGAAAATTGCAAGCTGTTAAAAACAAACCAGAACATGGAAAGATTGATATTGATGTTGGTTATTTTGAATCAGGGAATTATATGATCTACTAAGCTGGGAATGACAAATTGAAAAGGAATGGTATTGCATTCATCATCATTTCATAATAAAAGAACATTCTGATATTTATCCAGAAGTGCTATGCTGTCAGTGACAGGATACTATCTGTATGCATACAAGATTTCTTTATATAGATCAAAGTAATTTTATTAAATGCCAACCTATCGGGTTTTTTATAAGAAAACTTCCAAATTATCCTTAAAGTAAATATCTCACTCCAATGATTAACACTTCTGAAATCTCTCTCTAAATAATTCTTTAAAGGCATAGAATATTACATTATGTAACTTACATTAAAACACAGTGAAAATGTGCTTTATATGAGGCAAGTTTTATATCTATCCATGTGTTTTGGTATTGCTTCCCTTGAAATGTACATATTCTCCTTTTGGTAACATGTAAAAGAGCCCTGATAGCACAGTGGGTTGCATGTTGGGCTGCCAATCCAAAGGTCAGCAGTTCAAGTCCACTGGGGGACTCATGGGAGAAACAAGGGCAGTCTGCTTCTGAAAACACTTAGCACATCAGAAACTCCATGGAGGGTCACTGTAAGTCAGATTTGACTTGACAGCAGTGGATGTCTTTTACTTCCTTAATATGTAAAATCCTTCTAAAATATGAGTGAAAAATGCAAATGATCTTCAGAACCAATTAATTTTTTTTCTCTGCCTACATCTACATCCTTTCCTCTTGTCAATGAAAATAAAAATGTGCTGTATAGAAACAGCAAGTCTCAACTATGAAACAAGACATGAGGCTTACTTTTTTGCTGCTGCTGAGTTAGCTCTAGACCCTGTGCACAATAGTATGAAACACTGGTCAGTCTTGTGTTAGTTCCATGACTGTTATGACGCAAAGTATTTGGACTGGCTGATTTTAAAAAAGGGCCTGATTGCCAGGTCTTTTATCCTAGACTGGATGCTCTTCTGCAACCTGTTCAGCAGCACTGTTGTTATGTGCTGTCAAGTACACTACAACTTAGAACCGCCCTATGGGCAAGTGCTCTGAATCTTGCCCTACCTTGAGACAACCTCACCATCTCTGACACACGTGACCTTATTGCCACCATCACTGTCAAACCATCATATCCAAGGTCTTCCTATCCTGCACTGACCCTCCACCTTTCTTAAGCATCATGTCCTTGTCTAAGGACTGGTCTCTCCTGACAACAGGCCGAAAGTAAGTGAGACCGAGTTTCACCACCTTGCCTCCAAGGAGCACTCTGGATTCACTTTATCCAGGACAGACTTCTTTGTTCTCTTGGCAGTTTATGGGATATTCAACACTCTTCTCCACACCACTCAAAGGCACCGATCGTTCTCTGCCTTCCTTTCAGATGTGTAGCAAGCAATTGAAAAAGATCATGATTTGGAACAAATTGGTGACTATGTATGAGGCCTAATGTTCAGTAACTGAACCACAGTCTCATGCATGGAAAGTGGGAATTCTACCATTGAACCATCAATACCCCTAAAATGCATTATTTACCATTCTCTTTCCTTGCCACTGGACTGAGAAGCAACATCATGACAGATGGAGAAAAGATTGAAGTTGTCACTTTTCCCATCTTACTTAAATCTACAAGCAACACCTTTGGTACCAGCAGTCAGGAGATCAGGAGACATACTGTATTGGGCAAGGCTGCTTTCAGAGAACTCCCCAAATAACTGAGGAGCAATAATGTCAGTTTGAAGACTAAGGTACACCTGATTTAAGCTATGATCTTTTCAATCACTTGCTATAAATCTGAGATCTGGACAGTGAATAATGATGACAGAGAAATAGCTGATGTCTTTGAGCTGTGGTTCTGGAGAAGAGCACTGAACATCCCATGGACTGCTGAAAGGACAAACAGACATATCTTGGAGAAAGAGCAGTGAGAATGCTGCTTGGACGATGATGTAGCTTCATCTCACACATTTTGGGCATGTTACTAGGAGAGACTACTTAGTGGAGAGGGACATTCATGCTTGGAAAGATGAAGGGTCAATGAAAGAGAGGAAGATTCTCAACAAGATAGACTGACACAGTGACTGCAGCAATGGGTTTAAGTGTGTCCAAAATGATGACAGGAATGGACAGAGTCCCGATTTGTTCTTCAAAGGTTTGTCAGGAGTCACACTTTACTCAATAGCACTAACTTCAATAGCAAAGTCATTTCTGGGTTGCTCAAATGAGTGAGTGCTGAACGAGTTAACTGAAAAGTTGGTTTCAGACCTACCTAGAGGTGCCTTAGAAATTAAGGCCTGAGTCACCTGTTTCTAAAAGGTCATGGCTTTGAAATTCCTATAGACTCTAGTTCAACCATGCACAGTGGGTTAACACAAACTAGAATGTGCTCAATGGCAACTAAAACAACACCAATCACACGGAAGTGATGACTCGGGAAAGTCGGTAGGCCCTTTGATAGTAGTCTGACTAGCTCTTATTTTATTAATGTATGTGTTGCAATGGAAAATAGATTCTGTTGTTAGCCATTATTCTATTTTTATTTAAAATTTATAACAATGATTTTTAAAATATTTACATAAAATGGAATAATGTTTAAAAATACTAGCAATATTACTGAGAAGCAATAACTTGCTTTAAGTTGATTCATTGCTGCTTCTTAAAAGCAATAACAGCATAACACCTGGGAGATTTCACAGGATCAAATAACTTCACAATTGTAGACCATGCAACATCCTCCTGCAAACAGATAAAAGATTTAGATAGACAACATTCTCTTGGAGAATAGATAAAAGTCAGACAATATAATGCAATATAAAACTATGGAAACGACAAGCTATGACAAATAAAATGACTTTCTTAAATAAAATTAACATTGACAAAAAAGACTAAGCAATATGATTTAGTGACTAAAATATTTCTTGAATCATTCAATCTGATATTCTTTTTTCAACCAACAACTCAAGGAGGGGCTTCTTTCATGAATTATTAACTAGGAGAGTGAACATTCTCAAACACTGAGAGGAGATGCATAAAACCAGTTCAATTATTATGGAAATATATGAGTATACACATATGTAACACGCTGCTAATTATATACTGTTGAGTCGGGACCCTTTAGTAGACTGCAAAGGAGACTACCCATCTTTCTTCTGCAGAGTAGCTGGTGGATTCAAGCCACGTGACTTTCAGTTGAGAGTGCAATTTCTCAACACTAAGCCATCAAAGCTTCCTGACATACACGTGTGTGTATGTATGCGTGTATAAAAGATGTTGTTGTTTCTTGCTGAGATAATTTATCTTCAGGAATTTACACAGAGATAATAGTTAAATAAGTACATAAATAGTAAACTCTAAGGTGAATAACCTTCTGTGGTGGTGAAAAATGACAGTGACCATTAACAACTGGACTTTAGTTAAATAAATAATAATAAGATGAAACTGTTCAACTTCTGGATACATTTAGTAAGTTTAATGTTAATTTTCCTTTTACTTAAGACTTTTAACAAAGGCATTCCGGTTTTGCTTTTATGTTTCTATCTTGTTACTGATATAATACTTACAATCTTCCATTCAATGAGGTGGAGAAAACCTAACAATATTCCAATAGAAAACTGTTATATTAAAACAGACAGAAGATGAATTGATGCCTTTGAGTTGCGATGTTGGAGAAAAACACTGAATATCCCATGAATGCCAAATGAACAAACAGGTATATCTGGGGGAAAGTGCAGCCAGAATGTTCTTGGTGGGAAAGACAGTGATACATCATCTCATATATTTTGAGCATGGAGCTGGGAGAGGCTTTCCTTGGAGAGGAGTATTATGCTAGGAAATGTGGAGGGTGAGTAAAAGAGAGGAAGACCCTCAACAAGAAGGACTGACACAGTACTGCAGCAATACATCTAAGTGTGTCAAAGAAGATGATAGCACAGGATAGGACAAG